GGTTGGCACAGGACTGAGTGATGCTCCATAACTTCTACAAATGCCGTTTCCTTATTATTATTACCACTTTACCCTTTCTGCCATCTAAACTAATTTGCCTGGCATTGTTAGCATCCGGGCATTTTTTTACGTCGCGAGATTGCAATATCTCACTCGTTGTAGCATGTGGGCAATATCCACATCCCATAAGAGAAATCCTATTGCTGGGCTCATGGACTCTGGGTTCGCCAATGGGGACGACAGAAAATTCAACCTGCAAATATCCATGTCCGGTAAAACTGCTGTATCCCAAATTATTTCAGCACTTGATGGCGAATATAACTGGCCCTGCATACTGGCACAGTACTGTACAAGTACAGTATCATGTCTGTTGATCATCCTCCCGGGAATCAGATCTCCTCACTTTAGTATCGATAGCCGCCGGACAAGGAGTCTAGACGGAAGCTGATAGGACGGAATAGGAGATGAAATCTACCGATTTACCGTATATATCAGATCTCTCATCATGACAAATTCCTCGTACGGCCCTCATCTACCGTATCGGGCGCCCCAAAATCTGCTCGTAAGATGGCTGAGCACCTGGGGAGAGAAGTAAGCAAAGCAGGGATTTGTGCTCGTACAGTACTATGGGAGCAGGGGGTATAGTACAAGAATTGGATACTCGAGGAAGAAAGGGTGATGGGGGATGTTATAAATCCGAAGTAGTTGCAGGTCTTGGCAGCTGCAGCTGGAATGCTTCGGTAAGTTACTGAAGTGCTGTATCATACTGGCAGCCAGTAATCTTTCTGTTTTAGATATGCGTGGAATGAGAGGCCTATTCTGTGATTTGAACAATTTGCAATTCATTGCGAGCAGGTAGAATCATGGCTATCCGATACCCTGAGTCACAGTTAGTGCTTTTCCTAACTGAAACATGCCCACCCGCCCGATTACCGATGTTTAATCTAGGCCACTGATTATCGTACATCCCCATGGCGATGGGTTCTGGCAAATGCTTGATTTCAATTCCATCTCATTATATGATATCGGACGCGGAGAAGTTTAAGTAATCATAGAGGCAGGAAACGATAATGATTCCTTGCATTCATTTTGTATCACGTTGCGTATTATTAAATCCTCGGTAGATGACTTTATTCGAGCAGAGAATTGAACGGGCGGTTCCTTTTTTGCTTTTCGTTTCGTTTCTTTTTCTTTTTCGCTCGTTAAGTTAGAGTAGGGCTCAAAGACATAGGTTATGTCTCATGTTGGTCGGTGAGGACCATGATCTTGGCATAAGAGCCTCTTTTTTCCCCCAATACGATGGAAGCGAGATGTTATACATAGTACCTGCAACCAAAAAATCGGTTATCGCGACCGCATCCTGAAAACTGCCTGGAAACGGTAAAACTTGGAGCAACAGCCACCCATCAAACCTTTCTATGATAACAGCATCGCTGATACGTGAAAGCCCCTAATACACTAGCTATAGGGGCTGGCGAGGACAGACCTGCTTACCCTTATCATATAGGCATTCACGGCTTCTCGGGCCGACCGGCATACCGCGACCAGCATCAACCATGACAAACTATGCATCGTCGTCTGGCTCCTCGTATCCCTTCTGGTGGTGCTAATACGGTACTCTGCAACCTTACCAGTTCCACGGCGTCGCCGGCGCAAAGCTATTTGTCTGCCGTGGGACTTGGTCTATCGGTCAAATTCGGTCTGCTATTTGAATAGAGTTTTTGAGAATTTCGAGGTTGAGTGAGGGATATGGGGCTGCTATGTGCTCGTATAGTACAGTACGAGTACGGTACGGGTACAGTATTAGTACAATAGTACAATTATCATAATATTATTATATCGGGTCCTATACAGTACAAGGGTTTAGATTATGTTTGCACTAGGCGATACAATTGTCCGGGACAGACCAGAAATATCCGTTTTTCACACGGCTTAGTGTGAAAATTCGAAGGAGACGACCCGGTTTGGCCTGGTACTAGTACCGGTAATTTTTTAATCGGTGTGGTTCGTTGATCTTTTACGCGCTCTAGAAGCTCTTTCGTCGCGGGATACTTGTATTGTCTTGATCTCTATTCTGTTTTCACTCTTCAGCTGCGGCAAACAACAATTCTGATATACATGAATTTTAACGAACTGACATTCCTTCTTCCTTTTTCATCATCGCTTTCCCGTTGATAATACTGACCAAACTCCTTCTCTTTACATCTCATCTCTTCAAGTCACTTCCCTTCCCTTCCCTTCCCTTCCCTTCACCGTACCTTCTCTTCTCTTCTCCATGCTAGTGTGACCTGTTCTTTACCTTTTGTGCGAAAGATAATGAATCCGGGACGTATGTCGCTGGTTCTCAATACCCTGTGGTTATGCAAATGAGCGCCGGTGATTCACAATATAATCTAGTACGACACCTCGCTTGGGCAACGTGAAGTGATACATTAATGTATAGTAGCCGCGCTGCAGAGTCTAGATAAGCGAGAGAGATGGGGAATGCCTTATTCCCGGGTGTGCGGGCCCAGTCTCCCAAGCTATCATGTGAGTGATGCATTGTGATGGTGGGCACCTGGGGTTTGTAGTATCATACCTGAGGCTAAGGATAGTTACTGCATCAAGTGAATTGCCATTGGAGCATAGTATCGGATTTGTGGATAAATTGGACTTGTGTCACTCCCGGGAAAAAATGCCATCTCCGCCCGCAAAGGTGCCATATCCTCAATAAATTGTCTGACGGATCGGGTCTGAAGCATGGAGATTATAATTATTCTTCTTGGGGACATGGATTGTCCAATACCGAAGGAATACTCGACGCAGTATTTATTACGGGTGGTCCATTTAGCTCGCCCGTTATACCATATCTGTGCAGTACCGTAAAAACCCTTAGAATCCACTACTCGTATCTCCGCCAGGCCTCTAATCTCTGTCGGGTTTTCGCATCGGTCTACTTTAGGTCTGGTTTGACAGGTTATGAGACTTGCGAATACCAGTTAAGTTAATGTGATCCAACACGTCCAGGAAGCTAATCGTCTACCGTGCCAGTAAAACGCTAATCCCTCCCCGGGATGAATTAGAATCCGGAGATTACTGAGCTCGCGGTGATAATGGATTCTAAAATTTTTTGGTGTATGATACGGTACTGCAGAGCGCGTTCCAGCTAAACTCATACTTTGCCATATCTCCTGCCACCTTAAACCCACTCGCTCCATTTCATCCCATTTAAATACCCCTCAATCCCTATACCGATACTCGACTACCCAAGATATAGCTTCCCGTCCTCCCTAAGACTTACTCGAGTACCGGTATTCTCTCTCGTCTTGCAAAAACGTCAGCTTTGGAGAGAGCTGTCGAGATCCGGAGTTTCCCGCACTCCAAGGACCTTCTCCATCCGCCCTTGTTCAGGACATCATACTCGAGTGGGGGGTAAAAGGTATTGGAACAACCTACTGTCTGGGCAAAGTCTTTATTTGGGTATATCCGCGAGCTCTTGATTCAGATCCTGCATGCTCAAGCAATATTTGGTAAGAATCGATACCCTTTCTAGTGAGGCTTGCGTGATTCCGCCACTGATTCACGCCCACAAAAAATCCCTTGCTTGTTGTCCCAATACCTTGCACCTGCCCGAGTACAGAACATCATAAAAACCGGTAACCGTGCTGGCGCATCGCGCGGGGTGCTCTAATCTTCTAGTGAGTGGCTAACTTAATCGCGTCTTGTCTCGCAATCCCCAATCGAATGGATACCCGTTGGGTATTGTGCGTACCCGAATGCATTTGCGATAATCTGGTCAGGGGAGAGCGGCTGAGTACCCACTCCCTATCGTCACCCCCCCCCCCAGCTCCAAAGCTCCGGTGATATTTTCAAGTGCCCACGTCCCACGTATCATACCGGGTGGCTTATGGCACGGACGTACGGGTCTAGATCATATCGACTTGCACTTTTCTGCATTGTGCTCGAAAACATCGCCGGAGGGGTACCGGTGGTCGTCATCGAGGCTACCGTACTACACCAACTTCAGAAACCAATTCGAAGAAAGCGAATAGTGGTTCGTTACCGTACCCACTTTCGATGATCCTGTCCGGTGATATTCGCGCTGCGAAAAGTCTGGTTGTGCGGATTGCGCCTCTCGGATACGGTGCCTACTGCACTCGGGATAATAAGCACTAGATAGGGCTCGAGCAGTGTCTGGGGAAAGCGGAAGCGCAGGTAGCTAGAGCTAAGGTATTACCCCATGCACGGTACTGTACAGTACTGTACTCGTAGCGCAGAAAAAAGAGACGCCTACCGACGCCGCTGCGGCGCAGTACAGTAGAGTGCTGCATGGCACACAACTCGATTACCGATCCACAAATTTTCAGATGCGAACGGAGTTATGGCTCGGAAGGGCCCTGCACTACTCCCCGCGTACTCGAGTTATGGAACTGCTGTGCCTCCCCGCACACCCCCCACACCCCCTTCAGGACTTGTACTACATTCCTATTTCCCAATCTATCGTGTGCCATAGCCTTACAACCCACCCACCCATAACATCCCATACCGGTATTACAAGTATACATTCTTCATCCGCTCCCTCGACTCTAGCGCGAGTGGTGAAAATCTGGTCATGGGGGTCAACCTTTTTCGGCTACACTAGCTAGTTCGTCGGGTACCGTACTTGCCTGCCATGCAGGTGAAAGGCGTTAAGGCACGAGCATCCGAGTGATTGATTGCGCTTTGAGGGGATTGACCGGTATTGGGAGTGAAGTGGCCGTAGGCGACCTTAATATTACGAGTACAGTACTTGTACTAGTATATGTTGGGTTGATTAAAAATGGGGTCTATGTCACTGTACCGTGATCTGGGATCGGTAGACTGCATTACTCGAGTCTGGTTGTGGTGTGGTGTGTGTGTGTGTAGGGTGGTATGGGTATGAGCAGGCGGCCTACTGTGCGAGACGCTGGGTTGATAGGATTTGGTCTAACTTGTAGTATGATACCGACTCACTCCCTGTTCAGGTTACGATAAAGTGTAATGTGATTGATGTCTGTTCTGTATATTTATCAAGTAGAACGGATATGGAAAAAGAGAAAGAGGTTTGATAACATGCTATTGGCCTCCAACACCCCTATCCCTTTTTTAGCAACGGCACTAAGCCTAATTCTCACAAGTCCTTTGGTCCTCTGTCCCTCAGGTCGAGTGATACCTCATGCACTATTCCGGTCTCTGCCCGTATGCGACGTAACTACCCACCCACTGCGTTAGCGTACGAACAACAAGGAGACACGAGGGATATCAGGGCGGAAATGAACAAGGAAAGGAAGCATACAAATTAAGATAAGAATGAATATTCTTATTCTTAATATCCTTCTCAACTTCAACCAGGAAGGTCTTCACCTCGTCTGGTGTCCACTCAAGTGCCCGTGTGAACAGCGCCATCGTGAGAGCCTCCAAGCCGTCCAGGAAGTTGACCATTTGGTACATTCCTACTTCTTTCATTCTGGAGTTCTGTTGTTTCTCTGTCAGTTAACTTGACCCCCTTCGTGAAAGGAGGAGATGAAAATAAAAAGGAAAATAGTAGATAATTGATTTGGAGTAGACGAGTATTAGAAGGGGGAGAGGAGGGACGACTTTAGGCCAAGCATTGTTCGGGAGCTTGAAGCATCGGTTGGTAACGTTCACGAATCCCGCATTCTCCATCCAACCCGCTAATTTAGAGGCTACTACAACGCTGCGTCCATAAATTTCTGCTGCTTCGTGGAGAAGTCGGCTCCATCTGGCAAGGGCTGAGTCTGGCAGGAGGGTCCCGTCATCAGAGAGGATACGGCTATCAATTTCTTGGCACTCAAGCCACCCCCCGGGCGTTAGAGTTCTAAATAAAAGTTAGTTTATGAATGGTAGTACCAGAAAGAGAGGAGAAGGAGAGGAAGAGGAACCGGAATGATCTTTCTATGAATTTTGGCCAGTCCGCGAATGATCCTGTCAAATAGCGGGTATGGATAAGGTCGAAAGTTTTTCCCCCGTATGTCCATTCGCTTTCTGCGTCATCAATCTCATAGGATAGATTCGGCGGAACCCAGCCGGGTTGGATAGGGCTTAAGTCCGTCCCGATAACCTGTTGGATTAATATTATTAATTGTCTGAAATTTTCGGTTCTGAATATATTTGTTCTTATTCAAGGATAAATGTGTTATGTGGCGCATACGTGGGCTGAAGAATGCATATCCGCCATATCCATTGCCCAAGCTCCGGTGCCAGTGCCGATGTCCAGGATCTTTTGTGGATTGGGATCAATGGGTGCCCAGTACAGCCTTCCGCTGAATAGAATAGCCATCATATGATGTTGTAACTGGAGCCGCTCAATTTCTTGCTGTGTACCTATTAATATCTGGAATGAATTTGCAAAGGGGACATGCGACGTGCCTCATCATTCGGAAATACATAGTCTGTTGGATTAATAAATAAATAAAAATAAAAAACTGCTCGAGTTGAAAAAAGAAACTTACTTCCTCGGTGATAGCCATGGTATCTGCGACCGTTTTCGTATTGATAATTCAACACGCTGGAGGAAAGAGAAGCAGTATACGTGGATCTAGTATGTTCATTATTAGAGGGGATTTTCTTGGAGGAGATTAGAGAGCCGTACAAATCGTCACCAATCCCCTGATCGTCCGAGAGATCTGGGGGGAAACTCTGAACTTATTAGCACCTATAAATTCAATAATATATTATGTCTTGAAGAGTTGTTTCCCGAAGAACCCCATCCCAGCACAGCCGTGGCTTCAATAATAATTCCAGGTATTTTTTTCTCTCTTTTAGCCAAACGCATAATACCCTTTAATGACGCCGATGCAGTAAAGGAGCTTTTTTTTTGGGGGGGGAGGGGGGTTATAGAAATAGAAATAATTCTAATGAAAGGAAACGAAGAAAAGGGTAACTTACATCCGCTTCCATAAGGTAATTTTGTAATCCTTCTTGGCTTGAGCTTTCCGTTGAGAGTCCAGTCTCAATAGAAGGTGCTGCGTTAGGTTGGAGTGACGAAGACATGTTGGCTCCAGCACTTGTGGAACTTTGATCGTGGTTGTGGGCCATTCACCTGAGTAGGGCATATAAGACCTGAGAGTAGTGAGTTGTCGGTAGTGAAAAACAAGTCTAGTAGCTATTCAGGGTTGGACTATGGGAGGGCCTTCAAGGGCACTTATTAACCCATTTTAACCCGCAACCCGCCAATATATATATGCCTATCCATAAACCACGCAAATACTGTTAGGAAAGAAGTGTTAGAATGCAGGAGTACGGATAAGTAGGATAGACCACGAATTATATGAAGGTTTCTTATCGAGTAAGGGTTCCTGAGGGAACAGAACATTTACGAACTTCAAAATTTCAATGCAATTTCAAGAACAAAAAAAAAAAAAAAAAAAAGAGAGTAAAAACAGCAATACCGCTAACAAAAAAGGCCGTAAAAACAGATCTGCCGAATGGCTTGCCTCGAATTGGGGGAATGGATCTAGGTCCGTGCGAGGGACCCAATGCCAATTCGTTGGAAACTGAGTATCCATAACTGGGGGAAGAACATCGAACCAGCCACAACCAAGGAGCAAACCCAACCCTACCACACCCCCACGCTGCGCTGGTAGGGAGCCGGAGTAAACTAGACAGGCTGGGCCATCAGACGGAGATGAAAAAGAAACCAACCAAACCACGTTTGAGTAATTACTTTTACTCGTACTAGTAAAAAAAGTCTGTGTGTAACACCGGTAGACTACACGTGGAGTAACCGAGAGGGGTAAGAGACATGTTTATGGACCCTCAGAAGGATTGGTATATTTGGTCTTTCCGCCACGGTCTTGCATGCTGGAGCGTTTAGCCTGGAGAAAGAGGGAGACTACAGTACGGTACTCGTACTGCACTGGTGTTAGCAAGCGAGCTCAAATGTATGGTCCCGCGGTTACCGAATTTAAAACCTCCCCAAGAGTTCAATGAAGTGCAGACCCACTCTGGTGGTTAACCTGCCCATACCTTCCTGATTAGTACTTCACCGGATCTCCTTTTTAATAAATGTGGCATGAGATTGGGACACTCCGCGTTTGCCCCGCAGACTATGCCGTAGGGGGTAAGGGGATAATGACATTGCCAACGATTAGTATATATTCGCGTATCGCTGTCTGAATATGGTAGGAGCACTGGAGTTTGTATTGCACATAGGCCTCCTTTGCAACCCACAGACCCCATCCCTCGCAATTGCAATTGGAGAAAATTCCTAGCTTAAACATAATAACCATAATATACATTTATATACATACAAGCAATTCGTCCCCACTGGCGCTTCCCACTAATTGGGTTACGTGCATGGTGGGGAGAGAGAATTGACAAAGTGAAAAAAGTCGGCATCCCTGTTTTCCAATCGAGATGGTATATCCAAACGCTGTTGATGCTTGTGGATATGTATGCACTCTTTTTTGATAGACCGCAGCACACGTGTCATTGCTCGGCGCTGGAGGACAAATTAGACAGAGGCATCTGGAATAAACTGAGGACAAGCTAGCTAGCCGGTAATTAACAGACCAGTGAGAAGCCGAGAAAACACCATGTTTTACTGCGCATGAGGAGAGGTAGCCGGAGGTGGCCCTCCTATCCGCTGCGGTCAGAAGCGAGCACGAGAGATAAAAAAGAAAAGGGGTAGTGGAGATACCCCTCAAAGACCATTAAAGAAGACACGAGCGAGTCGTGATGAGTTTTGGGGGAATATCTGACTTACTCCCCCCATAATATGGTTAAGGGTGAAGGAAGCGCGCCAGATGGCTTGGGCGTGGAATGAAGTTGCGTTCACCTCCTTGTTTACCTAACCCTGGAAATCTCCACAACGGCTCGGGAGTCACCGCCACTCGGGTTTTTCTAAGCTTAAATGTGCCAAGTTGTCTTAGCCTAACTCGGCCGGGGTGGCGTGAATGGCGGTAGTAAGACAGAACTTTTACCCAAGGAGACGGTCGTATTTAGCACTTGCACCCAACCCTGCCGACAGGTGTCAGAGCCAATTGGCCGGGTTATACACATCTCTGCTGGTAATCTGTCTTTAAGGGAGACTTTTGTGCGGAGGCTACGATCTTGATTTCGATCTTGATTTGTTGGGGATTGGCACACCCGGGCAGGGATGACAGAGTCCGTCAGGTCGGGGATTGGATGTTATTCTGTAATAAGGTATGTGCGCGGCATGTTATATGAAGAGCTCCATCTCCGGGATGTTGCTACTGGAGTAGTTTGTCATAAAAATTGGGGAACAGAAAAAGAAAAATTCTAGCTGTGCTGCTAAATGAGGTGTGGTGGTTCCTTCGTAACGAACGGGCCTCGTTAATCTGGATTAGGAAATATTCCAGTCATACCTTGTCGCCTATCTGTCTGCCTGAAGTTTCTTTGTCTCGTCATAAGAGGGAAAACAAGATTAGTTATTGGATGAAATATTTTCTGCTTTTCAAGCTGGTGTTGTGGGATCGACATTAATGCCGCAAACCCCGGCCATATTGTTGCTAGTGCTGATCCATATCCAATGAGTATTATCAACACACCGCTAATTTCCTGGTATGATGCTACAGCTATGGTAATAGACTTTGTTAACAGAGGGTTTGACTGGATTTTCTCTGAATCCTCATAGCTCTGTTTACAGGACTTAGTATAGGGTTGTTTTCCTTAGAAGGTAGAGTAGAATTGTTCAAAGTGGATGTTAGGATGTTTATGTTTCTCGTAACCTGTGTTCTACTTCTGACTATAGCATTGCGGGCGATTCTCAGGCAGACCCTGTAGGATCACTAGATGCCGGTTCACAGGCCGGTACTTGGGTGTTCTCAAATGTACTTCTCTGGGGATTACTTCCCCGCTGTAAGAACTCGGGTAGGGGGGCCGTATGCCGTGGGGTCCGGGATTCCTTGGAGCGAGAAATACCGAAGACCCTTCTTTCCAAGAGAATAGGAAAAAGAAGAAAAGAAAAGAGAAAAAAAAAACTAGACCTTACTAGGAGAGGTAACTCCGACGTCCTAGGACATGGACCGATATTTGAGTTACGATATTCCAGTTGGTTTGTGCATTTGATTACAATCTTGAAAGGTTCTCGTAGTAGTTTAGTGGAGTTAAATTCTACGCTCGTATTTTAGATATTGCGAGCTGGTTAGCCGCTCATTCGCTGGACACAGTATCATTTGATGAAAGTATATAACTGTTTTCCTCGAACCCCGCTTCCTATATCTAGCGGAGAAGATCGCAGTTTTAAAGTTGCGATGCACTATTGGGCGCCACGAATAAAGCCTTGGTTTGTTCCGGAATGATAGCAGCTTATATCAGGTGCTGCGATGTTAGTTTATCGACCACAGCGGTGGCACGCTATCCGGCAACCTCGATTCGCCCGCGGAGGAACCATCAGAGCGAATGATATTTTGTGATTCGCAAATGGGATCTCCGCATATGCACGTAAGAGGCAATTTGGGTGAAGTGGAATTTTATTTTTATTTTTTAGGAGTTTTCATTGCCGGAATACCCGAAGAGCAACTGACTGGAAAGGTCGCGTCCTTTGTGGGGGTGTCTGTACTCGGTCGTGATTGGGCTCGTTGTGTCTGTACTTTCGTGGGGGCATTTTGTGTACTATAGTGGAGCGCTCGGAGATATTTTTAAGGACATGGGAGGGTACTCGACGGTTTTTATAGTCTCCTGAGCGTGGGTTAGGTGGCCGAGGGCCTGGAGCCCTGTGTTTCCGGTAGAGCCTGGTACCCGCTAAGCAACCAGTCGGACCATCACTGAGTAACTTAATTTTTTTTTGTTTTCCGGCTGCTTTAAGGATTGCTGGGTAGTTTGTTAGACTTCTGCAAAGGTTTTATAGCTCTGTGAAAGGCGACATACGATGGCCCGTGCGCAACTCGAGTTGGAGAGAGAAAAGTTCAGATTTGCCAGGTGTCTGGATGCCTATGAGCACTCTTGCGACATGAAATATGCTTGCTGTATCGGCAGGCATGTCGAGGGCACATCACCGGGCTTGAAAACAGAATTGGTTCTCTGGCATCTTTACACATAATCACTCGATCGAAAACTGTTATGGGGGGGGGGTCTGACCCGGTAGAATGGGATGAGAGAGAGGAGAAAAACTTCTGGCTTAATTCGGGGAGCCAATTTATTTTGAATACACTATATTTGCCGGCATTGTGAGCGGATGAAATCTGACATGGCTGAGATATGTAGGTGAGAATTGTGTAGTGTGGTTCAAGCAATTGTGATTCGATAATCATCACCCGCTCGGCAATAACATAGAGCTCCATATTCAGAAGAGCCGTATGATACAATCTCAATTGTTCTCTTCATTCAAAGGGTTGAAAACACAAGCTTATATAGAAAAGAAAAGAAAGGAAATAAACATTCTGTCAACCGCTTTCACTACAGTAAAGAGACAAAGAAGTAATAAAAAATCCTTTCACAAGGCTACTCTCTTCCTTTCTTCCAGACGTTATCACACACAAGATGAGGGCTTTGGAAGCATGGCTAACAACACTCCACACCAAATTGTCTTATGTTTACCTTTTATTGATTAAACCCGCTCTTAGAAATACTTGTAATGTATAGGATATTGGTAGGAAATGGAAATTCGGCAGGTGATTCCCCCTCGGTTCCTTTATCTTGAGATGTCAATTAGATTCTTATTCGCTCTTGCAGCAATTATTCACTCTCAAAAGTGATTGAACGACCATCTGTAGCAATGGGAAATATTCTCGGCACAGTGCTTCTGAGTAGTGGGTTTGATCAAGCGTTGTGGCGACTCCGTCATATACCTTACGTCTCAGAGCGGTATTGCGAGCGATGATGGGTTCTCTGGAAGCTCTTATTAGGGTATTTTCTCGGCGTAATGGGTGTTATTTGCTATAAAGATTCCAACTTATAGTCCTGGTTAGTTGACAAATTCCGAGGAAGTCTTTCCCGTTACTACTAGATGTGCTGAGTTATTTCTGACCGGCGGCTGTGAAAACGGTGGCATTCGACTTGGCCCTGCCCTAGGGACTGCTCGGCTTGTCTGGCCAATATGGAACTTGGTCTCTAGGTTGGAGTGAAACTCCATTGGGTTTTCTTTCTTTCAAGGATAAAACTTTAAGAAAGAAAAAAAAGATCTTGCTGTACACGTTGGTTTAAGCAAGTATAGTATACTGATTAGAGTCTTGGCTGTTAAAAATCCCATTTCACCCTTATGCCACGAGGGAGGAATGTTAATTTAGAGCGGAGTTTTTCAGCCTTGGCTTTGCGTATGCTTTGCTTCCCTCCTCCGGGGGACATGCTATCGGCCACAAATGTACGGCTTATTTAGAGTTCACCTCAGTCCAGTGATCATTATTTGAGCCCAAAATTGCAGTTGCATATTGGCTGAAATATTGGGAGGGTAAAATTATTTGGAGAGAGATTTTTTTTGTAGGCTTTTCAGACTACAGACGGTGGTTGCTCAATTGTGGTTGAAGATTTTCAAACAATGGTTTGTCACCACGTGGCACAAAGCATAACTGCTTTGTCTATGCGAGAAAAACATAAACTAAATTTAAGAGTGAGCTTAAGAGGTTAGGGAAATATAATACGTGTGTTTTGATTGAACCAAAGTTGATAATCTGATAAGAATATGGGAAAAAAGTCTTGCAAAGCGTCTTCACAACAATGTGCCCTGATTTAGAACCTTGTAAAACCATGGTTTGTGTGATTCACGTCTGCTGAGCGGTAGAATGTCAGGATTCGCGCGAGCCACCTCCGGGCTTAGGGGGGCAGCAGTATGCCCACTGGTATCACCATAGTGATGTTATTGTAGCACTAATGGAATGGCGTCAATCCCGACTCAGCAGATACACAACTCTCAAATAGCTATAGGACACGAGCTAGTTATTGGATAC